TTTTTTCTTATCTCATTGCCTGAATTAATAATTCGAATGAACATGGCATGGGAATTAAAAAAAACAAAGACTAAATCTATTTTTTATTTGACTGAATTTTACTATATTTAATTGAGTTTTTATTTGAATTCAATACCCATAATTTGAATTGCAATTTGAATTATAATAATATTTTGTGTGTGAAACATATATGAGTTAATTGTAGCATATTTGCTTCTATATATCTTTGCTATAGTGTACAAATATAATATAAGAATACCAAATATTGTTAATTAATCACTAGTATTTATTTAAACTACAAAATGTTGTCTATCATCCTTGAAATTCCATTTCGCTATATAAAAATTAAGTCAACTACACAAATGATTTTATTTCTTAGAAATTGCAATATACAACATTTGAACGAAGAATTAAATTGCACGTACGTCAATATGTATTTGTAAAATTCGAATTTAAAGGCAACTTTTGAATAAGAATCAAAATATTACATCCATCAGAAAATACAGAAGACACAAAATAGCATATGTATTTAACGCGGCTTTATTTGCAGCATCTAGCTAGCTAGTAAATATTAAAAGATAATTAGCTATATATATATGTAATGACTTTATTGCAAATTTGATCAATAGGTTGGCTTCGTGCATACGACACAAAATTATGTTGCACAATTTAGTGTAGAAAGTGCGGGCTGAATGAGAATCCTGACGATTCGAAGCGAGGCTTCTTGCGTCATATGCAAACCATCCCAGAATATGTAATTGTTTGGATTGGAGCAAACAGGCACACCCCGACTCCCACAAAACCTTCTGCTATTGTAGTTGTATTTTCCTCCAATTCCACAACAAGCTTGCAGTGTTGTGTTTCTAAACGGGCCTGTAGATTTCAAATAACATAACTAATAATAATTAGCTTACAAGAAAAATATTGAAACAATTAATTTAAGAGTGAAAATTAATTTAGAAAGATGCGCTATGAATAATAATAAAAATAATAAAAGACAATTACTGGCCTGCTAATGTCTCGGTAATAACTTGCCGCATCCCTTCGTCCATCGGGCCATACATTATGCTAACGTCTGGGAACTCTCTGCTCAGATTTCTCATAGCTGCTTGGAGATTGTCGTTTTTATATGCGATTAGATCATTTACGCTTTTAAGACAACCCATATTATCGTAAGCGTCGGGATGATTGCTGCGCAGTGCAGTTAAGATATATGGAAAGCAACCAATTAGAGCATTTCCAGGAATTATTATATGCCTCGCACCCATGTTGATCAGCTCCTGCATAATGCATCAATATATATTCAGTTAAATTAATTTGGTTAGTGTTGAAAAGATTTTGTTTATACGTATAATTATTAAATTAATTGGAGATATATAGTAGTACTTACTCTTGTTGCACTTATTTGAGCTTCTGTTATGTAAGGCACATAAGTCCGTACATCTCTAATTGATTTACCCTGAGTCAGTGAGTAGCCCACGTCATTGGCTTCAATATCCCCTAGTAGTATTAGAGAATTTGCCAACCTATTTGCACAGTCTGATCATATAGAAATAAA